CTTTAGCGTGCCTTCGCTTGGATGGAGGGGAATCAACTTCACCGCTGGAGGACGCAAGATCCTGAAAGATTGCTCTGGAATCATTCATCCGGGAGAGTTCACAGCCGTCATGGGCCCGTCGGGCTCGGGTAAAACTACTCTGATGAACATCCTAAGTGGAAGACAGAACCCTTCGGGTGGCGGTCTGAAGGTCGACGGCACGGTGACTTTGGATGGGCGAATAACGGCGCCGTCGAAGTTCCGTGACAGCGTCGCGTATGTGATGCAAGAAGATGCATTGGTATCGACGAGCACCCCTCGAGAGGTACTCGAATTCGCTGCTACACTCAAGTTGGACAAAAGCAGACATGAGGTGAGGATATATAGATGGTCTCAAGAAACGGTCTGATTGACTTTGCCCCGTGTTCAGGTCAAAACTATTGTCAACGATATGCTGGAGTATCTCCGTCTGAGTACTTGTCAGAATACGATGGTGGGCAATCAACTAACTCGAGGAATATCAGGCGGTGAGCGCAAGAGGACTTCTATTGGGATGGAGCTCATAACACAACCAAGTATGTTATTCTTGGACGAGCCTTTGACCGGGTTGGACTCCTATGCGGCGGTGACGACCTCGAGGGTTCTCAAAGGATTGGCTGAACACGGTGTAACGGTCCTTATGACAGTTCATCAACCTTCAAGCGAAGTCTTCGAGCTTTTCGACAGGGTCATGCTCATCAACGAGGGCGAGATAGTGTACCATGGCCCGAGGACCTCTCTCGAAGACTACTTCGTGAGTCATGCGGACTTGCGCTGTCCACCTCATTACAATCTCGGTGACTTCGCTCTTTACAAGCTCCAGACGCAGCCACCTGAAGTCATAAGCCGTCTAGTCGACGCATACAAGGCTGGGATGGTCGATGCTGATGCGAAGTGCGTTACTGGAGATGGTATGAAGAATGGAGTCGTCAAAGCCACCATGAACACACCGTATCGTGCCGGCCTTCACAAGCAGTTCCATATGCTGGCAGCACGCGAGTTCAGAGCAGTTGTAAGGGACCCAGACGTTTTCATCGTACGCTATATCGTCGTGATGTGCACTAACCTCCTGTCGGCATCCATCTTTCATGACTCCGGTAGACCAGGATCAGAGCTGTTCTGGCTGACTAACATGCGACTCTTTCAGCCCTATTTCTCTGCTGTAGTGATCATGTGTCTGACGCAACTGTTCGGACCAGCTCAAACAGCGATAATCCGTTACCCTGAGCAACGCATGGTCTTCTTGAGAGAGTACACCAGCGGCATGTATTCAGCGATCCCCTATGTCATATCGAAGAGTATGATTGAACTACCGTTAGCACTCTTCGAGTGCTTTCTCCAGATTGTAGTCTTCTACTGGATCGTACTCTTCAAGGCAACTTCATGTTCTGGTTGTTGCTCTCTGGCTACTTCATCTGGTATCCTCGTCCCTTGCGCAGCTA